AAAGGTTCTCTGCTTGGTCTAAGGTTGCGCTGTCACTGTCTTGGAGTTATTTATTTTTAGACAGAGTTCTCACAGTCTCATTTTTCACTGGTCTCCGCAAATTATGGAACTGGTCTGGATTATTTTCAGCTTAATTATCAGCAAGCGACTCTGGTTATTTTAAAACACTCTACCTTGAGATTTCTCTGCAGTAGATCGATGCTAATAAACAGAAACACAGGCCCACACTCAACTCCCTCAGAGATCACTGTTTCCAGGGTGCACTTGGAGAAAGATCTGTCAATTGGATTTACAGACTCGGACATTTTTTCCCCAAACCTGAAAGAAATAAGGAATTCTCACCATATCAAAGGTCAAGATCATAGACAAAAATGTATTGAGAAGTGAGACATCAAATAAAACTTTCATCCCGGGTCTGGAGATGACATGAAACATATACTTATTGCTATGAAAATATCCAATTGGTCATATTTCCAAATGGTTGAAAAACACATGTAACCTGAAAAGTCCCCAATCCATCATTTATCAGAGGAAAGATGCAGCAACACAGCTGGCCTAGGTTACAAATCAACTTCTGGCAATCGTAAAATAAAGCAAAAGAGGGGGATTCTAGGTAATCCACTGAATAATGACTGCCTCTCCTCACTCCTCCAAATAACGAAGGGATGTTTTCCCAGAGAGGCCGCTCTGATCCCTGATTAGCCCCCAAACTTTTCTGTGTTCCCAGATCAAGCCTTCCCTCAGCTACGTCAAACAGTACAGAGGTCTCCTCCTGCTTTCACGAATCTCCAAGCCCTCCCAGTCCTTGTCAGCATCATGGAGCAGGAGGACTGAGCAGAGCAAGCAGGCAAGGCGGGCCTGGGCAGCGAGGCTCAGGCCTGCACACTGAGCACAAGCACTTACTCTCCGCCGCGGAGTTCACTCACCAGCCTTCCCTGCAACCCTCATCCTCCTCCAACTCCTCTTCCTCCCTGGCGCCTCCACTTGCAAGGATGACCTTTCCACCTACTTCCCTGGGAAAATTGAGAACATCTGATGAGAACTCCCACAAGTTTCCTCCCAAACTCCTTTAGTTTTCTTTGGATCGTCCCCCAAACTTTCTTCCTTCCCGCCGATCTTGGAAGAAATGTTCCTCCCTGCCACATGGGCAGCTTAACCCCTTCCCCTGCCTCCCATCAGCTAGGCCTCCCTTGGTGACTGGGGTCCCTGTTTCCTCCACTGGTGACCTGTTCAGTTCCTCCACACTGCCTCCAGTCTTCTCATCCAAAAATGAACACACCAGCAGCATCTCTGCTCAGCTATTCTCCAGGCCAGCCTTCCCTCCTCTACCAGTCTCCCTCCTACTGTCTTGCTTCTTCTCCTCTCCTTGTGACCTGACACAGCAAGGTGTCATCCGAATACAATCCAGCATGCAGTGCAGAATGCACCAAATGAATGGGTGCCTAATCTTCCATCTCAGCTCCCTGAGTTCTTCTCTTTTGTCTTTTCACTTATTATCCTTTTGAAGTCAGGTACTGTGATGTCTCCAGTTGGGTTCTTTTTCTTCAGGATTGCCATGGCTATTCGGGATTTTTGCGGTTCCATATGCATTCTAGATCTTTCGTTATAAGACAGGGTCTTTCTATGTTGCCCTGGCTGACCGCAAACTTAGCAGTCTCCTATCCTTAGCCTCCTGATAGCTGGGATTACAGGTATGTACCATAGCACTCAACTCAGAGTTATTTATATACTTTAAAGAGAATACAGTTTTTTTAAAATTATACAGAATTTTAAAAGAAGATGATAGGAAATCAACAAGGTTGCTGTACTGAATATTGTTATCTTCAAGGTAGTCATTCAGATTACCAGATATATATTCCTTTATATCTGTAAAAAATGAGCAGAATTTTCACAGGAGTCACACTGGATCTGCAGATCACACCTGGTAGTACATATATTTGAACGATATTAATTCTTCCAATCTGTGAACACAGATGGTCTTTCTCCCTTTTTTTTTTTTTTTTTTTTTTTTTTTGTCAATTGCTTTCATTGTTTTCAGTAAACAGACATTTCACATTGGCCAAAGGAATGGAATAGGGAATTCAAAAATGAACTTGCATATTTATACTTCATTAATTTTTGACAAAGTACTTTAAAAAAAAGGATAATGTCTTCAGTGAAAGGTCTTGAGAGGGCCAGACATGCTGGTGCACACCTGTAATCCCAGCACTTAGGAGGCTGAGGCAGGAGGATCGTTGCAAGTTTGAGACCAACCTGGACTACAAAGTAAGCTAAAGGCCAGCCTAAACTCCATAACAAGACCCTGTCTCAAAAAGAAAAAAAAAAGTCTTGAGAAAATCAGACATGCTCATGCAGAAAATGAAATTGGATCCTAATACTACATACAAAAATCAACTCTAAATGAAATTATCTTTCCAGAGGGAAACCAAATCAAAAGCCCAGGATTGCCAACCACCCTGCTTGCATGACCAGAAGAATTCTTGCCTCTCAAGTACAGGCCTTTGCTCCCTTGTTTCCTGTGATGTTGGTTTCCCTCCAACTTTTCCTGCTGTTTGTATTAAGTGTCCTTCAGAGTCTTCCCCAATTCTGTTTTAATGGAAGTTATTCCCAAAATACCACTCCAACCTGTTCTGTGTACACTGCATGATCTCTGTCCTGTGATGCTTCTCACTGGCTCCCATCCCACACTGTTTCCCTAAGATATTCCTATTGTGATCTCACTCCTAAATCTCAGACCTCATCTCCAACACCTGTGAAACACCCTAAGCCAACTGCCTGACTCCTTGCCAGTGTGGCCCCCTGGCTCCTCCAGTTCTAGATAACTGAAGCAACATGAGCCTAACACTAGAAACCATTTTGGATGACTTTTAAGAAGCTTCTGCTATGATTCTGGCTAAGGGCAAATACCAGGTTTGCAGGTAGAAATGACAAATGACTTTATCTGCCTGGAGGAACGCTAGGAGACAGGAGACTGTTGGATCCTGACCCAAAGCAGCAAAGTTGTGCTTCCTCTATGTCTGACACTGTAAGCTTGCCTCTAGTCCTCCTGAAAATTATACTGTGCAAGACAGTGATAACAGATAGCAACATCACCAAGAGTTAGACAAACACTGCTTGTACACCTAGAGATAGAAAATTAAGTACTTACTTTGGCTGCAAGTCAAGGCACAACGGCATTTCATAAAGCAGGAAGTGATGGGGCGTCTGGCTTGGGCACAGTGGATCAAGAAAAGCTGTGACCTCTTTTCCACTTATTGTTCACACTGTAAATGCTTTCCTTCCATCAATTAAAAAGAGCATGTGGGTTCTGTCCCTCCAATTTTCGTGTGTCTGTTAAGCGTCTCTCTGTGATTCAGACTCACTTTTCTTAGTGTGAGTGCCTGGATCTGCTTTCCTAATCATGCCTTCCCAAATCCCAAAGAGCTTTCTGAATGATATTCTCCTGGAAGACACTGAGGCTAACACTTCCCTCCCCACATCAGCAAAGTTGGGAAGAGTTAATAAAATGTTGGCTATCCATTTATCCCACCTCCCACGGGGGGTGGGGAGTCTGTCTTTTGAACAAAGGAAAATGAAGAAAAGCTCCCTGTCTCCAACAGGAGCCTGGACTCCCCATCCAGGGCCTCCCGCTAATTCTAGGCCTCACCCTGAAATCAGGGAGGCCTGTGCCCTTGGGACGGTCACCACCCTTCTCTGCATGACCTGCAGCATTCACAGCTTCCACATATCCAAATCTGTTCCATATTCCAGCAAGCTCTCAAAGGGAAGGGCAATTGTAATCACACAGTCACTCCACGCTTTCTCTCCCACCCACATCCGCCTGGGATGGAGAGCAGGAGGGATATTAAGTTCTGCCCTCCCTGGAGCTGTGTGGCTTCTTGGCCTTTGCTTAACCAAGGCTATTGCTCTGGAAATAAGCCTTCCACAAAATACCCTGCCCAGAAGAAAGCAAGGAGCTCTGGAATTGCCTTCTCCCAGCTTAAAAGGACTGTCTAACTAAAGCCACACCATAGCAGGCAAAGAAGGAGCACGCACACTCAGGTATGAATTAGCCTACATGGAGAGGAAGACAATCTGGTGACAGCACTATTTCCCGTCTGTCCCACTTCAATTCAAAACTGTGTCAATTTTCAAGTTCATCCAAAAACCGGGAATTTGAAGTTGAGTAAATGTCCATTTGAGAAACTGCCAAGACTTAAACTAGATAGGCACTGCTCTCACCAAACCTACTTGTCTGACTATTTTAATTAGCCTATATCCTTCAACTATATGCTACCCAGTGTATCAGGAAATCCTGACTTAGCTCCACACAGCCTCCCAAGTCCGGCTCTTGCTCCCTCCTTCACTACAACTTTTTAATTCAAGACACTCTCATATGTTGTCTAAAAAGTCACAAGTGGGCATTCTGCCTCCCCTGTCCTCCTGTCCCTTCTCCACGTTACAGCTGGAGGGGCTATTTCCACATTCCAATGTCCTTCCAAAACAAATGGAAAAGAGGTGCGAATCAAAACTGTTGCTTCCACTAGGCTACATTCAATCTGATGATCTCACAGCCCCACTGCAAGCAACTGACACCTTACACACTCAGCCATTGCCTGTTGTCCACTCTGAAGGTGGACATAACCTCAGGCGTTGCTCTTTAGTACAGGCCAAGTGCAGTTGTGAGCGGAGAGCAGCTAACACTCCCACAACCTGGGGAAGGGGCATTTTAGCCCAGGAAAGAGATGTAGGGAAGGCATCAACAACTCCACAATACCTACCTTTAGACTGTACTCTAACTACTACTGCCTGAAATGCTCTTTCTGATCACTGCGTCTGGTTTCTCATGATTATTTGCATCATGTCTGACCATCTAGCTAAAGTAGCTACTCTGTCATGCTGCCCTCCCACTCAGTCATTCTCATTATCTGATAATATCATTTTTCACTCTCTGAAATAATATTTCTTATTTATTTTTCATTTGCATGTTCATTGGTTGTCTCCTCTTCTGAAATGTAAAGTCCATGAAGAGTAAGGACCCGGTCTTATTCACTAACCTAGAGGTAAAGTCAAAATATTCTGAAATCAGATGTCCTGGTTCAAATCTATCACAGTAGCTGGGTAAGCTCGAGCAAGTTAATTAACATCTTATAGTGTCAGGTAAATAGAGTTACTGGGAGGATTAAATGGGTTGATCCAAGTGAAGTGCTTGGAATATTGCCTGATACATGGCCCAGATGTTTAAAGAAAGACAAGGAAAGGGAAGGGAAGGGAAAGGAAGAGAAGGGAAAGGAAGGGAAGGCAGAGTAAGGAGGGAGGAAAGAAAGAAGGGAAGGAGGAAGATGAGGGAGGAAAAAGAGAGGAAGGCAAGAAGGAAGACAGGAATGGAGGGATGGAAGGAGGGAGGGAGAGAGGGAGGGAAGGCTTCCCAGCTGACTCAGGCTGCAACTCTGCTTTCTATGTGATACCTGTATAGCAAAGACCATTGTCATTTCTCAGATTTTTAACCTTTAAGGTGATACAATTCTTATTCTTTCTCAGCTATCAGTAGGTATTAAAACTACCCAAACTTTTTGTTGTGGTTTATAGATTTTCCTTAAAACCTGCAAGGGCTCTCATTTTGATCATATTTACTGTAGGAACCATACTTAAGGTTCAGTTTCCCAGCCACAGCATGCTAATTCCTAAGGTCCACGGTCCCCATATCTCCCGCCATAAGCAGTCACTGTCCTAGCAGCCCTGGCCCACAGCTACCCTCAATCCACCTTGCCCTGTACTCAGATAAGCTGGCTGCGTCCACAGGAAAGGAAGCTTTCAGTAAGCAGCCACCACTAAATGAGCTGCAGCTTTGTCTACAGCCTGCAAGAAATGGGTAAAGGAGCAATTAGTTCAACTCTGCTCTGAAAGACGAGTTTTATGGGCAGTAGGAAGCAGGGCCAGTCATTAAACAAATATAAACTGACTACTCTGCGTGAGCAGGCACTGTGGGGAACATTAAGATAAACCATATCACAGGATGAGATGGAAATTGTAAAAGGCTCAATTCAGAAAGCTGCTGCCATGTGGGGGAGATAATTGTCATTACCTAAAGTTTTTTTTAAGAAGGCTGTCATATCTGTTTGGCTAAAGAAGTCATATAAGATATTTAAGAGGGATGAGAAAATCCCAAGTTTAAGCGACCAAAATCTCGTGGGAAGGACAGGCAGCATATTTGCCTCAGAAAAAGGAGAAGAGGAATAAAGCCAAAGAAAAGGGAAAGAAGAGTACAGCACCGAAGGAGGCCAAGAGCCTGATAAAAACCTATCCTCTTTGTCTTCACCTCGCAATCTTCAGTAAGAAAGCTAAACTCAACAGCGCCTTGCGGCGAGGGGACTTTGGGCAGAAAGTAGTGGAGAATCCACATTTCCAGACAAGGTGATAAAGTGACGCAGAGACCATGCCCACCCTGTAAGCCCCAACAGGAGACGGTGAAATAGAAAGAGTCTCAGGAGAGCTTGGCCTTTTGCAAGGCACGAGGTAAAACTGAGGCCCAATGAATCCAGACCTCCCAGGGGTCAGCAGAGCTCAGCAAACATCTGGGCAACATCTACAAGCTTGATGTCTCATCTCTATGTCGGCCCCAGGAGCCCTGCTTCCAAGTAGGGTGTAGGGTCTTCATCATTAATTATATGCCCAAATCTAAGGTGCTGAACCCATTTAAGTGATGGCTGAAGTCTCAAAATAGCATACAGAGGGGCCGGTCGCAGGGATCGCCCAGCACCACGCCATCTTCCTGGATGACGTCACATACTTTCCTGCTGTCAGATCCCATCTGCAGTCTGAAGATTCTCTAGCCCAGCTCCTCCTCTTGAGCTCTAGAACTACGATGCTACATACAGTAGTCACAAATTGCTGTGGAACACTTGAAATGCAGCTAACGCAACCAAGCAACTGCATTTTTTATTGTATCTCATTTCAAATTATTTCAGTCATTCAAAATGACTCGAGCTATTCATTAGGATACAAGTATATTTAAAACAACTTGGTCATGACTATGGAGGAACAAGAAAACAGCCTGCTGCTAGTCACAGGTGCAAGTCTCTCGGTCCTTCTTTTCAATCCTGGCCTTCCTTCCAGCCATCATACCTCAGTGAAAGGAGTCACTGGTGAGGAGGTAATATGCTATTTTTGACAACCCTTAGGCTGTAACTACTTATTAGATCCTTCTTGCATATCTCTGTCTTCCTGAGAAACCACTTTGAAGATACCACCACATATTACAGCAGCCATTGATATTTTCCTACTAATCTATCCATAACTGTGTTAAGTTTGTAATGTTCCTACCCTATTTCATAATGTATGTTTATTATTATGTGTTTCCTACAACAACCATTGAGAATAGTTAACGATTTTTCAATAGGTCACTCATGTATAGCTCTATTTATTTTCTTTAGAAGCCACTTTGAAGATACCAAAGTATAGCACAACAACTCTTGATAATCTCCTACCTCTTTTGTCTCTAACTCACTATTATTTGTCTATTTGTTTTCCTGAGAAACTATTTTGTAGATAATAATACGTAAAACGATAACCATTGATAATTTCCTACCATTTTGTCTGTAATTTGCTAAGTCCCCCCTATTATTATGTTATCCTTCTTTTATTCTTTAAAATAAAAAAAAGATGCAATACATAAAGGCTGAGATGCAAGTAAAACAAAAACAAACAAACAAACAAAAAAACCTAATCAGACCAGGGATATAAAAAAAAAAACAATTTGGGCCTATAAGTCTACTTTCTCAACTATGAATCACAGTTGAAATGGTCTATCCATGTAAACTATACATTGAATTTTGAAGATTTAGTATGAAAGAGTTTTTATATGCATTACATGCAGAAATGATAACATTTCGACTATGTTGGGTTAAATTTATACAATATTAAAATGAGTTTTGTTTCATTGTTTTTAGCTGCTTTAATGTGGCTGCTAGGGCATCTAAACTCCACATGTGGCTTGCATCATATTCCACTGGAGACCTCTGCTCCAGAACTCCAGAACCATGCAGTTCCCTCATCTCTTAGTTCTTTCTCAAGTACCTCAAACAAACGTATCCAAAATTACTCACTATCTCTTGTTCCCACCCCGCCCTCAATCTCATCCTCTTCTACAACTCTTTAAATGCCTTCATGCATCAGATCATAGTGGAGAAATCCCTGAAAGTTCTCCTTGATGCTTGCTTCAAAGTTGATACCACCTTCAGTATCATGTGCCCTATCACCCACGAGGGCAGGGACACTGTCTGGTTCCTGACTTCATCCACCCCTGGCACTGGCCCAAGCACAGCATGTGGTACACTCTCAATGAAGACTTTCTAAATGAATGAATGAGCCAACAAATGAATGGGTGACTCATGTCTGGCATGGTTGAGAACACAAAGCACCCACACCACAGTAAAACTGAGAAGGCAAATTCTAGTGTGCTGGCGGAGAGCTGCTGGCCTTGAGGGAGAGAGAGAGCTCAGAGTCCCATCTAAGAGACCTTGGAGCAGAGAAACGAATACATGGGGGAATCTGGAAATAATCAGGAACTTCTCTATGGGTGAAGGAGGTTGGAGGTTTACTAGCTGCCTCCCGGCACCACACCCTCCTCATCTATGCAATCTGCGCTCTTTGCTGGGAAAGCTGGGAGATGAGTTACAGACAAAAGAAATCTAGGTCAGCAGGAGCCATGAGCAGATTCAGCAGGGAGTGAGTAGCCTCTCTGAAGGCCAATTAAGTCAAAGCAGCCTTCAGTACCAGGTGTGACTGCAGGATTAGCTGAAGAAAATAAGACTCATTCCAAACAGTCTGGGGTCCAAACACTGCCAGGAAACCAGGACAGGAAGATCATTAGCAATGGCCATAGCGAGTATTTGCATATGTTTATATAGCACATACAATATTCCAGGAACTTCCTTAAATAGTCATATGAGCATATATGAGTGTGTGCATTAGCTTTAATCTTCATAGTAAGATTAAAGTTGTAATCTTTATCACCCCCATTTTACAGATGAGGAAAATAAGACATGGATCTGGGATTCAAATCTAGGCCAACAGTTAGAGTCTGGTTTTCTATCAGTCATAGGCCAGAGAAGGGAGAGATAGAATTCTAACTTCAGGCGCACTGGGTGAGATTAATGATCCATCCGTCCAGAGTTTTATAGGGGCAGGTGTGACAGGTTTATCTAAGGAGCACTGACAGGAAAACCAAAGAAGATAGGAAAGAAAGCCCTCTGCCCCTAGCTATCATCACTCACTCCTGTCTTAAATGAGTAATATTTATTGCATATGTGTTGCGTCTATTACTTTTTTATTAAGAGGCCTGCTACTCTTTGATACTACTCCAAAATTCAAATCTATTATAGGAAGTTGGTTTTACAAAAGGCATAGATTCTGAGCTCATGAAGAGTGGGGTTGGGTTTACCGTGTCTGCTTCCCTGAGCCTTAAACTAAGGAATGGATCCAGCTAGTGCAACTTGGTGAGAATATCGGAGCGGGCTCCTTGATTGGCAAAGATGGGGAAGGAGCGTAGGAGGGGATGGGTGAACTGACATCGTTATAATCTACACAGTCTTGCCGGAAAAAAGATCTATCACATGCACCTCCCCCGCAACCCTCCCCCATCAAGTCATTCTCCATATCGGACAGCACATTTTGCCAATGTACTTATCTTTCTATTACATAACAAATATAACTACTTGCAGTAGTTTTAAAAACACTAAATAAATACCTTTAAACAGAAAGGGAAAAAATGAGACTTCTGATCACGTCAGTATGCCCAAATCAACAATATTCGGGACCCAGAAGGGACATGACAGCCACCTTCAGCTATGTAGGAGAGAGCTTGGGAAGAGGGCGAGAGAACTTTGATCCTGCTCAGTATATCAGGACAAGAACCGACGGGTGATAGCTTAAATGGGGAAAATTTCAAGACCTTCAAGAAAGGTATCAAAATTAAACCATCTCTTTTCTATGATTTTAGGCTCCTGTTTACTCTGAAGAAGCCGCAACCAATGAAGTCTGACAATGGGGACTTGAGTTTGAAG